ATGTAAAGCAGGAGGGCAGTTGTGCTCACCACCAGCTCCCAGACAGCCCCCACACTCCCCACTTCAAGGCACTGAGCACAGTTCCACCCTGGGAAGCTGTACTCACTGTCCTCATCCTCCTCCTGACTGTAGCTCTCGTTCAGGCCATCGGGAAGTTCTTCCTCCGCTTCATCCTGTGGATGGCTCAGCTCCAGCGGTGACTGCTCAGCAGCGACACTGGGGCAAAGGAAATCATATCTGAAGGAGGAGCACACGCTTTCCAGGGCCATAAGACCCAGAAGAACATGAAGCAGCAGGAGGTAACATGTGCAGCCCTTGCTGGTGCTGACGTACAAGTACTCATCCCAAGCTAGCAAGATGGAGAAGGAACGTTCTCCAGAACAGCCAGAAAGAAAGAAGCACAAGGACAACTCCTTCCAGCAGGAGGGCAGAAGCTCCATGTTTGTGCACCCTCCCTGTCATGCATTCACATCCCTTTAGGAACACATCTCTGCCCAGGCAAGAATTGTTGGACCTGGCTCTGCGGAAGGCCACAGCAGGTAGGGCCTCGTGACTGTGCAGGGCTAGAAATACCACACAGCACTTCCACACTGTGGCTGGAGGAGAAGATGGAAGGGATTGGAGCAACCCCAAAGTGCCTGTGTCAAGCTGGGGATTGCAGGAAGGCTCCCCCACACCAGGATGCCACAGAAAGCAGTTTTTCACTGGTACACAGCCCATGGTTATCCTTATAGGTAGCCCCATAGCATCCAGCCCAACCCCACCACAGCACTCCTTCCGGCTCTACCTACTCAAGCTTGCCCAGGAGCACAGCCTGGGCCCTTTTCTCTTCTTTCTCCAGCTGGATGTGAGACATCTGAGTTGCCACTTCAGAGATGGCAGCAAGGTGCGACAGTTCTGCTCTCGCCACCCGGTGCCCACCACACGTGCTTGGCTTGCTCAAACACCGGCAGCCAGCGTTGTGGTTGGGAGAGCCGGTGTAGGAGGACAAGAGACGGGCGCTGACACGCTTAGTGTAGACCACGGCACCATCAGTGCCTGTAAAGCTCAAGTTACCATTAAGGCGATGGCTACTCAGCTCCAAGTTCAGAGGAGTGACGGTTTCCTTGGGGGTGAGCTGCACTAGGAGGTGCTGCCCCAGTTGGACAGGCTGCCCACGTTCGTAAGGTCAGAGCTTTTGACTTCGTGTCCAAAGCCACTGCACGTAGGAGTCTGTCCTGCTCGCTGCTGCACGGCTTGTGTGAGGCCAACTGCCAGTTCCTCCTCTTTTAAGCTGTGTGCTCTCCTCTCGGCATCCTCCTGCGAGCACCGGTCCTTCCTGAGGATTGCACTGCTGGGCACAAGGGTCAAGGAGGGGACCACAGTTGGCTCCAATGCAAGGTCATTGCTTTTCACTGCTCCATTCACCAGGCTGCTGGGGGAGCCGTCATCATCATCCCTGGAGTGGGGCCATGAAGCAGCAGGATTCTTCATGTTCTTGATCTCCAGTGACTGCAGCAAAGGCACTTTAGCACTGCTTGGCTGTAGGAAGTTGTTACTGAGCGCTGGTCTACAGGAGCTGGATGCCTGCTGACCTGAACTGCGGGCAGAGCCTTTGACCCCAGCCCCACAGTGCTCCTCCACCAGCGCAGGCAGCAGGCAGGGTTCCATCAGCAAGGAAGACATCACCTTTCCCGTGACGCAACTGGTGTCAGGAAGGCTTTGGAAAGCAAACCTGTAGGGCTTAGGTCTAAGGCAAGAGTGTCAGCAGAGCAGAGCGCTCCCACCCAGGTCCACGCAGGGCTGGGCCAAGGGCAGGCTCGGGAGTAATGTCACTGGGGTGCGCAGGGCATAGTGACGGTGGGCACAAGAAGTAGGGTTGCTGTGGAGGGATCCCTGAGGGCACAGCAGGCTGCAATCCTGGAAAGCACTCACATACTTCTCTAAATTCCAGGTGGGTTTCGCCTGCTGCCAAGTGTGGTCCCAGGCCTGGTGCGGCTGAGCTCTCCCTGCCAGAAGGGAGCGTGACTCAACTCTGATGCTCTTCTCCTGTTTGGGGCCCAGATCAGCGCGTTTCAGTCCTGCAGAGGCCATGTAGAGCCATAGCATGTGAGGCACAAGCGAGTCAGTCATCTACAGCAGCATCTTTCCTGGCCTGAAATAAGAAAGACAACAGCATGAAAGGTGCCGGTACCCCAGCAGGGCAAAGCAACCAGCCCACAGCCTCAGGATGCGGGCCAAGGCAAGCTGCTTTCC